CAGTATTCAGGGGACCATACATAACAGTAGGAAAAGGCCTAAAGTAAATTATTCATTAATTAAAATGAACAGATTTTCATATTAGTCAGATATGTGATGTAATACATATTAAAGTTTTACTGATTGGAATCAGTAAAGAAATAAAGATTTTGGAATTTTATCACAAGTCAAAGTGAAGAACAGAGATAGTTTAAACTGACAACACGCTAAGGTTGATTTTATGCCCATAGAATGAATTCATGGAATTGGAAAATGCTTTTTAAATTTTTTTAAATGTTTCCTGAATTGGCACAACAAATTTCTGAAAATTTAGTAGCGATTTAAAGCACAGGTTCAATGTCCAGGCACAATCTCTTGATTTTCGTTACAAAGAAAGACTGTCATCAAAATGTATGACTGTCACAATTGAATAATATGGTGGCTTCCAAAGTGGGAATCATCTATGACTCTTGTTTTTTAAAATACCTATTTCTGCCTCTCTTTAGATTTTTATTCAAATGCTTCTGTGCTGTGGCTGAGGAATCTTCAGTTGGTCCGTGGTCAGTTCTTTGGGATGCTGTAGATAGAGCAATGTTTCCCAAATTGTCTTCTAGAACATTAATTTCCAGAGAGACATTCAGAAGTATTTACAGGGTGGGGGATTAAAAGGTACATGGACAAACTACTATAGAATTACTAGGAAATACTGGGTTTAAACAAAGTCAAACAAGTTTCTTTACTATAGGACCTACCCAAGGCTTTACTAAACTGCTCTCTACTCTTCAAGAGCAAAATATTAAGAATCTGCCAAACTTCCTTGACAACAAAACCTTTTCTTTGATGTATGGCTGCTAATACCTCATAGGACAATAATGATCCAAAGAATACTGGCCTTGAGACTATTATAGGAAGAGTCTAAAGTGAATTATTTGCCAATTCCTTATAATCCATTGGCTACAATCATAATTTTAACAACTTAATGCAAATAGTGGCATTAAAAACTGTAACAAAATCTATCATTTTTACCTTCCATATGTGAGGAAATTTAGTATACAGTATTCATATCTTTTAGAGAAAGGAATATCTCTAAAACACTGAAATATATTTATGGATTAAATAATATGGGGTTTTAAATTTTCTTCATCATTATACAGGGAAGGGAACAGTGTCTAGTGGTCTGGATGGAGCAGGGTTGGATAAAAGCTGATGGAGATGGGTGCATAGGAGTATAATACACTATTTAATTTTTGGGTATGTTCAAATTTCTCTGTAACATAAAGTTTTTAACACATGTACATACCTGATAATTTCTTAGAAAAAAGAGACTAAAAATAATGTAGATGTACATTATATCCTAAAAATAGTCATTTTTAAGGTTATATCAATAGTAAATTCAGTTCAAATGTCTACTGAGGAAAATAAAAACTGTTTTGGATGATATACCCTGTGAAATAAAAGAACTGACTCATTTGTAATGCGTATTTGTATTTATAGGAACATGTTTTCAATAAAATATATAAATGTTTTAAGAGTAATATTTCCTAACAGATAATGTAAATTATACGTTATGGTTTTCAATCTCAATTATAAGAGTGAGATAACTTTAAAAATATAAGGCATCTTTTTCTAAATAATCTATCATTTTACCAAAATATCGTTTCTTAATTTGAGGCAAATATTCATATTTGAGAAATGTAGTAAAATGAAATATAATTATGAATGAGCAAAAACTACCTTTCATCTCTTACATTCAAAAACCTCTTATAATTAAATATTGGGTATTCAATAGATATCTGACTAAACAAAGAAAAATAAATGGGTTTAAAATTATAATTTCATATATTTTTAAAGGATAAATGATTTTAGCTAACACCAAACTAGAAAACTGCAGACATTAGAATTGGAAGAGAATCATTAGTTCAAGCAGGCACATGAAACTGAATTAAAGCCACAGGTGTCATAGTAACATATTGAGGTTACATACTATAACCAATTTATTAAAAATAGGTGTTCCATAATAAACTAGATGGTCTCATACCACAGTAAATGGTGGTACTAAAAGAGAAGAGAATAAGAACAAGATTTTTATACCTGCTTTCTCAAGGTATGACATTTCCTGCTCCCTTTGAATGTACAGAGTCAAGGTAAAGTTTTGTGTTATTAAGATGTTGGCTATCTGATTAACACATGAAATAAATCTATCCTCCTGTGATATATAAAAATAAACTTTATAAAAATAACTTGTTATTAATTTAAATTTCCTCTTAAAGGGTCAGTAGAACCTATTTCACTCAGCCTTAGTTACAAACTACAGATATTAAGTTTTGAAACTGCTGACATTTTCAGGACAAAGTACCTTATTTTAAGAACATTTTCCTTAATCAAATGAACCAAATAGACAAAAAAACCTATGAAATTCTTAAATTTATAATCTGGGAGTTATTTTTTTGGATAAAATATCTATAAAACATGTACATATAATATTTATAAATCTGACCTGGGTATCATATAACTTTTCAGATAAATGATGAAATAAATGAGGACCTAAATGTTCTAAACTATATAAGGTCCTCAACAGGGTATAGCTTATTATTTCTTATTCTTTAGGTACCTAGGAAAGTATTTTATATGTAGTAAATGATAAATATCTGCTAAATGGTCTAAAACCAGAACAACAACAAAAGGAAGTTTTCAAGTAAGTGCTTGGTCACCACGAATATGGAATTTTCTTTGTAAAAGGGAAGAGACTTCCAGTATATTTGTAATTTTTAAGATAGCACTTTAGGGACTTCCCTGGTGGTCCAGTGGTTAAGACTCCGTGCTACCAATGTAGGGGGCCTGAGTTCAATCCCTGGTCAGGGAACTAGATCCCGCATGCCACAACTAATACCCAGTGTAGCCAAAAAAAAAAAAGATAGCACTTTACAGTAGCATCAAATGATAGATGGGGAAAATGAGATTCCTTTGTTTTTCATCAATAGAAAATTACATCTATCTTTCAAATAGTTCATCCTTATATTTAAAATCCTATTCTTCATCAAATATTTACTGTACATGCAGAGGTAATATGACAGTATGTTTGATGTTACATAATTTTGGTTAATTATTATCCTTGCTCTCAAGGAAATTGATATTGATAAGTTTATGGAACAAAATGTGTGCAGTATTAGTATGTACAAAATAGCTCATCTTCTGTTTGCACTGCTTTAGACAGTAATTAAGATCAAAAAGTCAATAAAGAATAATTATGTTAACTAATGCTGTTGTCTGAATATTTGTGTCCCTCCAAAATTCACATGTTGAAATACTAACCACCAAAGGTAATGGTATTAGCAGGTTGGGGCCTTTGGGAGGTGATTAGGTCATAAGGGTGGAGTCCTCATGAATGGGATTAGGGCCCTTATAAAAGAGATCCCACAGGGCTTCCCTGGTGGCGCAGTGGTTGCGAGTCCGCCTGCCGATGCAGGGGACACGGGTTCGCACCCCGGTCTGGGAAGATCCCACATGCCGCGGAGCGACTGGGCCCGTGAACCATGGCCACTGAGCCTGCGCGTCCGGAGCCTGTGCTCCGCAACGGGAGAGGCCACAACCGTGAGAGGCCCGCGTACTGAAAAAAAAAAAAAAAAAAGAGATCCCACAAACCTCCATAGCCCCTTCCACCATGTGATGATACCTTGATAAGGTGCTAGGTATGAACCAGTAAGAGGGCCTTCACCAGAATAGGACTATACTGGTGCCTTGATCTTGGACTTCCCAGCCTCCAGAACTGTGAGCAATAAATTCCTGTTGTTTATAAGTAACCAAGTCTATGGTACTTTGTTATAGCAGCCCAAATGGGCTAAGATAACTACACTACACCCATTTATTATCTTTGTAGTCATTACTGTCACTGCCACGTTTACCTTATAACGAAACTCAAAGTTACTTGGTATTTGGTCTTTAACCAGGTTATATATAAAGATGCACAAATAATCTACATCTATGATTAGATTACTAATATAACAACTAATTATCAATTAATAATTGAATAATGAAATAACATAAATAGCCCACTGAATAATAATGTGCATTTCATTAGACTGGGGCTTAAATCTCATAATTCGAATTAGTTAAAAAGCTCAGGTTAGGGACTTCCCTGGTGGTCCGGTGGTAAAGAATCCATCTTATAATGCAGGGGGGTTGGGTTAGATCCCTGGTCGGGGAACTAAGATCCCACATGCTGCGGGGCAACTAAGCCTGCGTGCCACAACTACTGAGCCCACGTGCCTCAAACTAGAGAGCCCACGTGCTCTGGAACCTGCATGCCACAACTAGAGAGAAGCCTGTGCACCACAATGAAGAGCCTGCATGCCGCAATGAAAGATCCTGCATGCCTCAACAAAGATCCCGTGTGCCGCAACTAAGACCCGACGCATTAAGCTGGGACGAAGTGAGAGACTGGCATGGACTTATATACACTAACAAATGTAAAATAGATAGCTAGTGGGAAGCTGCCACATAGCACAGGGAGATCAGCTCAGTGCTTTGTGACCACCTAGAGGGGTGGGATAGGGAGTGTGGGAGGGAGACGCAAGAGGGAGGAGATATCGGGATATATGTATATGTATAGCTGATTCACTTTGTTATAAAGCAGAAACTAACACACCATTGTAAAGCAATTATACTCCAATAAAGATGTTAAAAAAAAAAGACCCGACGCAGCCAAAAATGAATAAATAAATAAATAATAAACAAATCTTTTTTAAAAAAGAGCTCAAGTTAAAATTGCAAATGGTAGAGATGAAGATGTTCTTATCCATCTTAGATTTTAAACTCCAAGACGTAGAAATTTTATTTCTCTGAATGAAGATAAGATACATAAACAATACAATTTGTATTGCAAATATCCAACTTTTTAAAATAAAAAATATATCAGGGAAAACCAATTAACAGAATTGTAAAGAAATAAATGGCTAAGAAGTTAAACTACCTTATACAAGTCACTTACAAATCTGTTTGATTTCTAAATGGAGTGTACTCACGCTTGTCTTTCAGTAAATATAATATCCATACTTTGTGTTTCTCGATCATTTTGAGCTTTAAGCTGAATAAAGAGTTAACACAAAAGTTATTGATAAAAATTACCATTAGGCCAAACTATCTCTTTAAAGGTTGTTCTGATTATGAACCAATTAGAGATTATTATAACAATCATAATACCACAGGCAAAGTTTTAAAAAATACAGTATGCTTCATTTAACAAACCACTACAAACACCAAATACAAATAAATGGTCTTTTTCACAGGCATTGTAATCTCACACCAAAAATATTCATTGTTTACTGATCTGTCAAGTAATCTAATGTAAACTTCATTAATGTAAACAGAATTTCAAGATTTTTTTAAGTGTTCAATAGTTGATTAGTAATATGCTAAATTTACACCCAATGCAAGTTGTATTCTTAAATCATTTAGGATTTTACCTGAGTACTCCTAGTCGACTCTACCTGAGCATATTCAGCCTAGAATTTGGACCCATCTCAAAAAACTAAGAAAACACAAAGATTTTACTTTTTTACATTTGGCATTAAAAATACAGTTTTTAAATTAGGAATTCTCCTGTGTTTTAAAGCTAAGAATAATTTCACTACATTATCATTGCTTTTATTAATAGAATCCCAATTTAGAAAAGTCATTTTATAAATCCTATGGTTTTATAAAATAGTCTTTGATTGTATAAATTATAAACTATGCTATAAGTTGTATGTTATTTTCTTCCAAATGTTTATAATCAATTAAGCTAGCAATTATCATTTTACTGTTTTCTACCAAATAATCCAAGACCACTGAACATAAATTCTCATTTACTAATCAAAAGTAGTATTATGTCTGGCATCATATGGTAACTATTCATTTTCTCCCTTTCTAATAAAACTCTTCATTGAGTACTCAGCTCCATTTGCACAAATATTAAACCAGAAGTATTACAAACTAATTTATATACAATTAGTATATATATATACTAATTTATATAGAAACTAATTTATATACATAATACATATTATGCACATTATATACATAATATATATGTAGACGGGACTCCCTAACTAATGCTTAGTGAGAGACCAGTTTAAACACAGCCTTGCAGAAAGACACTGAAGCATCCACTTGGGAGAGCCAACCAACAGGAAGAAATTTTAAAAGAGCAACTAAAGGAACTCAACTATAACAGTAGTATTTAGGATCAGAGTAATACCTATCTCCAAGGTACATAAGGTTTTATCAAATTATTTCTAGATATAAATGCTTTGTTTTGGAGGCAATGTAGATCTATTGCTTATACTTATAAATTTTCTTACCATGTTGTAATCATTCATTACTTCTTCCATTTCCGTATTGGTATTAAGTTTATCTACCAACTAAAAAGAAAAGTACAAAAAAACCATATTATATTAGTCTTCATAAATTTTCTCTGTAATCCATAATATAGGTATTCAATCTTACAACTAATGAGTAGTCATTTAAGTATTAATACTTCCAAGTACTTTACATTCTAAGACAAAAACAAATATTGAGCCATCTAAGTAAGCATATACTATGAATTACGGCAATCAATAAACTACGTCTTTAGGGTGGAAAAGTAGGCAGTAATGAACTACTCTTCCTGCTGATCGTACCTCAAAGAGCTTTGTCTGCTCTGAAAAGATGTCTGAGCTTATAAAGAAGGATGTTGAGAAGACAAAATTTGGGGGAAGATCTCTCACTCTCTCTCTTTTTCTTTTTCTTTTCAGGGGGGAGGAATGTTAACGGATTTACAAATTTACACCAGTGTAAATGTAAAATGATTTTCTTGGTCTTCTAAAAATTAAAAAAAAATTTTAAAAAAAGCAGGGCAAGGCACAAACAGAACACTAGTTAGCATACTTCAAAGAGTTAGGCAATGACAGGAATAGCAAACATATTTATCTATTTACCTTGTACCAAACCCTGTTCTGAACTTATTAGATGTATTATTTCACTTAATTTTCACAATTACTCTATGAAGTAGATATTTTGTCCACATTTTGCAGATACAGAAATTTAGCAAGTTGTAGAGCCAGAATCTGAACAGGAGGCTTCTAAAAGCAAACTATTTGGATGTAATTGATTTTAAAAGACTAAGCTTTCCTAATGTAATATAAATTAGTATATATCACGTTTTCACTTGTGGTATGAATAGTAAGTGCTAATGAGCTCTAATATTTATTGAGACCTTACTATATGTTAGATATCTAACTGCTTTCTCTGTATCAGAGAAAAACCTACAAATAGCATATTTCACACGTTATTAATATTTTTATATTAAGTAACTTACCTAATGCATTCTAGTACAACTAAAAATCCCTTTCATCTAATGTCTTTTTATATTTTATAAAAAACTATTTTTTGGGCTTCCCTGGTGGCGCAGTGGTTGAGAGTCCGCCTGCCGATGCAGGGGACGCGGGTTAGTGCCCCGTTCCGGCAAGATCCCACATGCTGCAGAGCGGCTGGACCCGTGAGCCATGGCCGCTGAGCCTGCACGTCCGGAGCCTGTGCTCTGCAATGCGAGAGGCCACAACAGTGAGAGGCCCGTGTACCGCAAAAACAAAAACAAACAAACAAAAAAACTATTTTTCTCATATTTAGAACAGAACATCATTTACAGAATATTATGGATTATAAAGTCCAACAAATGTGAAAATTACAATATACTATAATCAGAGAAATTTTGTTTATGAGTACAATGTAACAATATCAAGTAGGTATATCATAATTTACCTAACCATTATGGTGGCATGTTTCTTATTTTGTGTAACACTATTTTTTTTTTTTTTTTTTTTTTTGGTACGCAGGCCTCTCACTGTTGTGGCCTCTCCCATTGCGGAGCACAGGCTCCGGACGCGCAGGCTCAGCAGCCATGGCTCACGGGCCTAGCTGCTCCATGGCATGTGGGATCTTCCCGGAACGGGACACGAACCCATGTCCCCTGCATCGGCAGGCAGACTCTCAAGAACTGAACCACCAGGGAAGCCCTGTAACACTATTTTTTAGTTGGAGAAGTGAGATAAAAGTTTTCAATAAGTCCAGAGACCACTGCTGCCTAAAGTACCTACAGACTAGGAAGGAAGAAAATTTTGCCACTAGAAATTTTCATGGGACCAAGATTACCCCAAAGATTGAGGCAGTAATCAACACTGCCAACGGGATCATTTCTTTTGTAAATCCACATTAGGAAGCATCTTCTGGAAGTCCACAATAGGAAGCAAAACTATGTTTATGTTAGATACTCTATTTTGACAGAAGGCAAACACTGTATTTTGAATGAAACATACTGATGAAGGTAATTTGTGGACTAAGTAATTAAATTTTTTAAATTTCATGATGACAACACTCCATAGAAAGACAAAAACATTTTTAAAGTAATGACATTGCTAGTACCCAATAAATTTTATCTACTTTAAAAATTATTATTTTAACATTGTTAGGGAAAAAATGTGTGCATGTTTCTGTATTTTTAAGTATTGATAAATTCTTTTTTTTTTTTTTTTTTAAAGGCTTGAAGAATACTTATCAATCTGTTAAGCCAAATTATTTCTGCGGAGGGAAAGGAGGGAGAAAGCAAAGCGAAACTTTAATATCTACACTTTCTATGGTTTCAATCTTTCTCACTACGCATGTATTCATGTATTATTTGGTATTTAAAATAACATTTTTTAAACTGGTAAAAAACAATGAAAATATTCAAAAGAAATTCAGAAAAGAACAAATACCATGTTGTAGTCTGCTAGTTGTCCTTGAAACTCTTTGATTTCAACAGCTAAAGTCTCAGCTCTGGAAACATAAAATAAAAACACTCATAAATACAGAAATAGGCAGATGAACATTATGAATATTATGTATAACTACAAATTCAGTATTAAACTCCTGATACATACTACATTAAATGTTACTCATAATAAAAACATATCTTGCATACTTTAACTGCAAAATTACTCACCTCTTTTCATATGACAAATATACTGAATTCTCTTGATTGTACATTTCTATTTCTTTCTGAAGTTTATTGATTTCTGTTGTAAGTTCACTTATTTTACTTCTAAGTGAAAAGAAATTAAAAAGTCAGTAATACTTCCAATCCAGAAAACAGTCTCTCTAGTTAAACAAAACAAACTTTTCATAAATGTGTAACAATAATATAAATGGTTTTGTGAAATTTCACTAAAAAAAGAAAAACAATTTAAGTGGCTTATTTGATTAAGGAGGTATATCCCAACTGATAAACTGATACAGGTTCTCTATTCATTAAAAAAGATGAAACAGTACTGGTATGGAAACCTGGGCAAACTGGTACAATCTAAGACAGAAGTAGATACCTAATTGTCACCCTTACAGCTCCTGCTACCCTCTAGGACAGGGTTTCTCAAGAGCAGCACTATTGACATTTTAGGTCTTTGAATAATACTTTGGTAGGGGGGTGGTATTCTGTGCACTGTAGGATGTTTAACAGCATCTCTGGTCTGGATGCCAGTGGCACACCCCCCAAACCTAATTATGACAACTAAAAATGTGTCTAAAAATTGCCAAATGTTCCTTGGGGGGCAAAATCACTGCCAACTGAGAACCACTGCTCTACAGTCAACTACACAAATAGGTAAAACTATTTTTTAATACAGAAGCACAAATCCTGGAAAAGAGAGGCAATGCAATGAGAAACAGCTCTATCACCTTCCCTTCTTTTGATTAAAAAGTGGCTGGATATCAAAAGATGCTATTCAACTGATGGCCTCACTATCTTTCTTACTGATGTCAACTTTGAGGACAGATGGAGAAAACCTACCCTTCTCCTATTGCCTTCTGCAGTTTGAGAATCAAAAGGATTCAGGTAATTGAACAACAAAAGAATTAAGAAGGACTAAGAAAGAAAACAGAGCTTTCAGGACACGATACAAGGATGCATTAAATGGAATGCAAGTCAGAGAGAAAGAAGATATAGAGGATGAGCCAACAAGAAAACAAAGTGTAATGGAAAAATGGAGATAAGAAAGTAGGACACCTGAGCAGAGAAAAAGGTAGGTATAGAAAGAGAAAAGAGTTCTTAATTTAGAGCTGCATACTTAGAGATATATAACAAAGCTTATGAATTAATTAAAATTAGGCCACATTTATAGCAACTGACCAAATACATACCTACTTAAAACTCTGTACTAAATATATTATAAATAAGCATATATATTTTATCATTAATACATATATATTAATACATATATGCTTATTATAAATAAGCATATATATTTTACCATTAATACATATATCATTAATACATAATAATATATTATTCATATATGTTTGAATAATATATTTCAGAATAACTAGTGAAAGAAGCATAAAAGATTATTATTAAATGAAAAACAGTGAACTTGAAATATATAGTTCACATACATTCAAATACATAAAATTTAAAACCTCAGCCTAACTGTATCACATTTTGTGATGACATCTATTTACAGCCAAATTAACCAAAAATGATGTTAGAAGACAAAATTCTTAGGAATTAACAGACACCTAATTATCTTTTTTTTATCTTTATTGGAGTATAATTGCTTTACAACCTAATTATCTTAATAAGTACCGTAGTTAAAACTTCATGATCATGCATAGAAAAAAAGTATTTAACATACCGAAGAAGCCCAAGATAATAAGATTTGTCTAAAATTTGCCTCTGGGGACCTAAAAAACATTTTTTTAAGTATTAGTGTTCAGTTTGAAAATGCCATCAAAATAGCAAATCCAAAGCACAACCAGAATTACACTCAACAGCTCTCTAATAGTACTCACAAATACCCCAGTAAATCTGAAAATAAGGAAGAAGCAGTGAAATAGAAAAGAGAACTAATATCTTAGCATCATGACATAATGGAAGCTTGAATTAAGACCACAAAGAGTGTCAGGACAATGGACTCAAAAAAACAAAAACAAAAACAGTGGATTCTACAGGTCAGGTTGGCTGAATGGAAACTGGGTCTAAGGGGGTCTAGAACAGGGCTAACCAAAAGAACTTTCTGCAACAATGGAAATATTTTATAGCAGTAAAGTAGCTGCATGGGAATACTGACCACTTGAAATATGGCTGGTGCTACTGGGAAGTGAATTTTTATTTTACCTAATTTTAATTAATTTAAATTTAAATAGCCACATATAGCTATTGGCTATCATAATGGACAGCACAGATTTAGACTACAAATTTCTCAATGTAGGCAAGATATTATGATTTTACATAATTTTTTCAGAGACTTTTTAGAAAGAAACATAATCTTACATTTCAGTAGGACTAAAAAAGTATTCCTAGGTTAAATGTCCCAAACCTTGAGAGAGGTAAAGTGCCCTGCAAGGCATGAGAGAAACAGCTAGGGAGTACTGACTGAGGTCTATGCCGAGAAGAGGGAGAGAATGTCTCACTAGAATGGGAAATGAGAAACTGGAACAGGTAAGAGCAAAAGTCACAGCAGATAGTGGTGCATGATGGTAACAATCAGAACTCTTTCGCACAACGCTTTGAAGTAGAAAATTACTATCTTAAATGATACTGGTCCTGTTCTAAAGGAGAAATTAACACAGTAATAAAATTTGATGAATTCTCTATAGAATTGTAGTATGTTTCTACCCTTGTTTTTAAATAATATTAAACATAAACACTTCTATGAAGACATTTTTAAAGACTAAACAACTACAAAATTTTGACTCATTTTCCTTCACAGTATTGATAATTATTAAGCAAGCATTTCTAAATAATCAATTGTTTTTTTTTTCTCATCTTTTGGCCACGCCACACAGCTTGTAGGATCTTACTCCCCAACCAGGGATTGAACCCACACCCCATGCATCGTAAGCATGGAGTCTTAACCACTGGACCACCAGGGAAGTCCAGTAATCAATTGGTTTTTAATATTTAGTGAGCTAAGGGTATTATAATACAAGTAAAAAAATTTAAGTCTCCTGAAAGGCATGATATACTGTATTACAGAATGTAGTATGACATCTTATAATTAATTTTGTACCAGTAGAGTATCATCATCCCTGATAACTCATTTGCACAAATACAGAAAATAAAAAGCTCATTATAAAACAGTTCACCATGCTTTGAATTATATATATATTATAGACCAACTTTCTGAATCATAACATATAATATTATTATGCCTTTCTAAACACAGAGAGGCATAATGAGAGATGTAGTATATAAATCTATGTGTTAGCCTCACTTCCTTACTTAAGCATTATAATGGAATATTATTACCAAAAGTAACAATTCTTGATTCACTACTCATAAATACACAAATACCTTACCAGTGTCATTTTGGTATAGAAACCAAAAAAAAAAAGTATTTCAGAATATTTCTATATAGTACTAGAAATCCAATTTTTATTCCTGAGCTTTTCTTTTCTTCAAATTATTTCAAATTTCTTCAAGTTATAGCAAAGTTTACCAACAAGAACCTACTGTATAGCACAAGAAACTATACTTAATATTTTGTAAAAACCTATAAGGGAAAAGAATCTGAAAAGGAGTATATATATACATATATATGTATATATAACTGAATCACTATGCTGTACACCTGAAATTAAGATGACATTGTAAATCAACTATACTTCATTTTAGGAAAAGTTATAGCAAACTTTTATGTTAAGAAAAATGAAGATTAAAATAGCTAATATATGTATATAACTCCCTAGTTCACAATGAATTTTCACATTCATTCTTTTATTTAACCCTTACAATTTTGTGAATCAAGGAATAAGAATTGAGTAAAATAGCCTCTTTCAGTCTACAATTCTGATTTAGTAATATGATACTGTAATACTTGTACAAAATATACTCATCTTCTTAAAACAGATACCTTTCATCCCAGTTTTCATTCCACTCAAACCTTGTTGTGTCACAGGACGATCAGCAACTCTGATTTGAGAGGACAGAACTCCTACTGTCCCTATGGGACCACCACGAGAGCCCAGTCTTGCTGTTCCAGGTGGCATCTAAATGACAAACAAGATTCAGTTTTAATAAACAAGAAAAAGACTGTGCCTCTAATATTGTTAAGACTGCAAAGAGAATATTAAAAAAAACTAAGATTCTATATAATTTGTAAAATTTTCCTTACATTTTAAATGTCTGAAATATTAAATAAAATTAACCTCTAAAATTCTATGATAATTAAATAAAAATTTCTTTAAAATTTAAAATTCTATGTGTAGATGTATTTATAGTACTCCCAAACTGGAAAGGAGCAAAATGTCCACCTATTTGTTCTTATTTAATCATAGGAAATGGTTATAACTCCATTTTTGTAAAATAAAGTCTGGAGGATTACATTAAAAAATAGTAACAAAGTTTATCCCTATATAATGATATAATAGTTCATTTTATATTTTATATAATTTCATATTTTCAACATTATTACAGTAAGTATATATTACCATTAAAATCAGAAAAAAATAAAGAAATTTTCATCTTGAGAAGAAAAGATATAATTACATCACAAGATAGCCATATAAGTATTAAAGAGTTTCCATCATTCAGCAAGCATTCATATTATTACTCTACATGATTCTCTACTTCAGGTCTGCAGAATCTAATGTAATATTATACACCCTGAGGAAAGGTCAAAAGACTCCCTTCTTGTCAGTTCATATAGTATGTACAGGCATGGGAAGGTATAAAGGACAGCCTGAAACTGTTCCAAGATACCCTTCTTTTATCTTCCTATCCCTCTTTTCTTTTTTCTTACTCTCTGTCAAAGAATAAAGTAGTAGATTTAAATATGTAGTAGAAATTTTAGATAGAGGTTAGATACAACCATTCTGGTTGATTTTGATTGTTTTTAATTCTTTTAGCTGGTAGCCTCAAATTCTATCAGCTAACATAGTTCTCAAGTGACTCTGAGAAGTACTTGGTAATTAATTTGAGTATGGGGGCCAGGAACAGTAACACATTCCAAAGAATACATTGTATACAGGAATACTGTCAACTACAAATTCAAATGAAATGAGTTCAGGATTATCCTGAGTGATCATTGGGAAAGAATGCTAAATCTCTCCTTGGATAAACCTTCTGAATAATTTCCTCTTTGGCTCTATGCAAGCATAATTATGACAACTACTCAAATAACTATATCACTTAAAAAAATTTACCAGATGAAAGTATAGAGAAGAAAGCATAAATTAAAACTGCACAGGGCTTCCCCTGGTGGCGCAGTGGTTGACAGTCCGCCCGCCGACGCAGGGAACACGGGTTCGTGCCCCGGTCCGGGAGGATCCCACATGCCTCGGAGCGGCTGGGCCTGTGAGCCGTGGCCGCTGAGCCTGTGCGTCCGGAGCCTGTGCTCCGCAACGGGAGAGGCCACAACAGTGAGAGGCCCGCGTACCGCAAAAAAAAAAAAAAAAAAAAACGGCACACATTAAAAAGAATGGAGTAGGTATTCATGTGTTCACACAGAAATATATTTACAATACCTTATTGAAAGAAAAGGACAAGAGCAATAAGAATGTATACATATAGCACTGTCCTCATTTTGGAAAATACTAAAACCATACAATTATATATGGATGTGTCTTAGTGTTTGTAAATGGATAGAAAAAGGTCTAGAAGGATACACATCACACCTTAGACAATGGTTATACCTGGGGTAGAAGGAGGGAACTCTGACACTTTTCCTTTGCATGTTTTACAACAAGCATTACTATTTTAGTAACTGCAAAAATTAGTTAAAGCACCTGGCAAACAGTAGGTGGCCAATATATTTCAGATTCCTTTTATAAATATTTAACAAGCATAAATTCTTACTATTAGAATAATAGAAAAAGATACTCTCGCTCAGTACCATATATATGAAGACTTTAGAAAAATCATTTCAGTATAAGTTGATGATGTTGATAATATTAGCTAAAACTCTAGAAAAATCTTAAAACTTTAAAAAAACCTAACTTTAACAAAATTATTCCCTCCAAAAATTGCTGCTCTTCTTATTATTTAAACACAGGACCCAACATTATCTCTAGTTTGCAATTAGTCTACTGTCCGAGCTTGAGTACCTCACACGCACCTTGAGATAGGCAAAACCATCTCTTGTGAGCATCAGAGAAATAACTATGAATATTTTGGTGTATTCATTTCTTTCTATGTAAATATATATATATTTATCTTTATGTTAAATGGACACCACACTGCTTTTTTCACTTAATACTGTACTATAAAGATATATTATTTCCTGAAATATTTTTTGAAAATAATTTTTAAAGGCTACTTAATAGCCGATTACAGGGATAGACATATCATAATCTATTTAAGATTAACCTGTTGTAAGGCCATTTAGGCTGTTCTCAAATTTTCACTATTATAATTATAATGAAAATGTAATAAATATCCTTACAGGATATTATTCTGCTTAGAATTATCAGCTTATAAAGTTTACCAATTATTTCTAATGTGGTGTGTTTCTCTTACTGATTCACTGATTTATGACACTCTCTATCTTACATTAAGCTCTTAACATTTACTAGTTTGTTTCTAGGCTGCTGTAGCAACCAGAACACTGTTTTACTTCTTATATTTTTATATTAGAGTATTGTACTTTTTCTTATTTTTGCCTTTGTACTGTTCTAAGTGAATGCTAGAATAGTTTTACAATGATATTCCTTCCCCTACCCCAAGAGAAATCTCAAGGAATTTTGATTGGACATAGGATTTATAGCTCTAATACAGAAAGAGCTTTTACAAATGAGTAAACTTTCCTTCTTCATTTTAAGAGTCTGAATTCTATGTATGACATATATGTTGCAAATACTTTTTTTTAACCAGTTTGTCGTTTTTCTTTTAACCTTTTTATGATGTTTTCAATTTTTTTAAATTCAAATATATAAATATAAAAATACTTTCCTTTTCAGTACTCGATGTTTCCTGTTATTTTTACAAAGGCCTAGCCTACGCCAAGTTTACACAAAATACTTACCCATATTTTCCTCTAATACATTTATGGTTTCATTTTTTAAATATAAAATTTCTAAAATATCTAGAATTCTGTGTGAGGGAGGGATTTGGTTTTTTAAAACAAATGGTTTACCAGTTATTTGAGTGCACTACTGAATACTCCATGTTTTTCCAACTAATTTGAAATGTCACCTTAATCATTAATTAAATTCTTACACGCCCGATTCCATTTCTGGTCTTTTCCATTTCACTTGGTTTTGGCACCAATACACTATACCACTTAAATTATTGTAGCTTTAAAATAAATTTGAATATCAGCATGAGCAGGCCTCTTTCTCATAACAGTGTCTTTCAAACATTCTCCCACATTTATACTTCTAGATGTTTTCCAGAAAACATACTTATATAATAGTATGTTTTCTTTATAAAGAAAAACAAAGAAGAATCTCTTATTATAGACAAGCTTTCCAAATTCTACCAGGATATACGCATAAAAATTCAATTATTTGTTTTAAACTTACTCCAGTTGCCACTCGAATATTTCCTGATGGGGGCCGTATTCCAGAAGGAGGCCTTCCTGTCAATCCAATCCCACCTCGAGAAACAGGCCGAGCTGCTGAAGGTTTGTGATTACTGGCCATTGCTTGCTCACTTTAACCACTGTTTGGAAACAAGGAATAGGTCTCCTTTGGTATCTTCTGTAGCAAGATAGTAGTGACCTGCATACCCTTCCTTCAAACATTTAATCCATGATGACTTTTCTTGCAAATTGCCATTCCAGGTATCACTACGTACAAGGTTGAGCTTGCTTTAATTCTGTTCAGATTTGACATTAATGTTCGATTTAGAACCATGAAGTCATTTATTACAACATGCCCTCCTCATTTCCCTGTTATCTTATCAAAATGCAAGCCCCTCTAGATATCTTTCTCTCTTGGACTCTCATCCCATACTCTAGTAAGCTTCCTCTCTCCCGGCAAAACCAGTATCTTTCTTCTCTGCCGATATTTTCTCTGTGATTTCTGGTCTATAATAAACTCCGTTATATTCTCAATCCTATTATAAATAGTTCCTTTTACACTTTGCCTTAACAGGTTCCCGGCTTCTCCTGAAAATGCTTTTGGTAGTGAAGGCTGTTTTAGCTTCCTGTCCCACAATTCCAAAGCAAAGGAGTACACCGCACTCTCCTTGCTCCACAATGTCACTGTCAAAACATTATTCTTCCAAGTTTTTAAAAAAATAAACAGGATTCTCTTCCTTTGAGGACCAAATAATGCAACTATATTGCCTTGCATCTTTCTTGGTTGCTTTTATCTAGGGACCTCCTAATCTCTCCCCCATGTTTACTAGTCTTTTGTTCACAGTCCTCTATTCCAGTACCACCAACATCCTGGATGACTTCCATATGGATACTGGATTCAATATGTAACATTCTAGCTTCACAGTTCCCTGACCTAAATTTCAGTAATCATTTCAACTCTATTTTAGTCATTCATAGCCATGGCCAGAGCTGGAGCTTGTCATCATCTGGAATTGCTTCATCTCAAATATCTTAATTGAAACACTTTATTCTCTGGCCTTAATTTCCTCTCCTTCTACCTTTTTCTCACCTTTATTCTCACTACACCTCCCCTTAAACTATTTCCTTTATTCACTCATTCTCTCCCAGTTTACCAGCCCCCTCCTTTACTCATCAGAATATATTATTATTTAAAGTTTGGGCTAATAATTTAAAATAGCATTTTAAAATTATGGGTCTCAACCTATTAGTAGCTTATGAAAACAATTTAGCAGGTTATGACCAATATGGTTTAAATATGAAATAAAATAGAAAATACAAGGGAGTTCACTGCACATAGGAAGAGTACTGTTTCATTAAATTCTTTTTCAGTTATATCTATATAAATTTACACATATGTGTATACTGGTCTATAATGTAAAATATATGTCCTATTATAGGTCATGTTCAAAAGAGTTTTAAAGATACTGAACTAGAGAGATAATATGGAGAAAAAGAGTGCCCAAGACTCTGGCCTCAGGAATGTCAATACCTAGAGATTGCACAGAAGAGGAGAAACTAGTATGAGACTGAAAACGAAGACTCAAAAAGCAAAAACAAAAAACCAGGAGTGTGTGTCAGAGACGCCAAGAAAAGACAGGAATGGTCAATGCCATTTTCTGCTGGGAATTCAAGTAAGATGAATACTGAAATGTCCATTGGAATCCCCATCCAAGAAACCATTAGTGACCTTGAGGAGGTCAGTTTCAAGGACTCCTTTCCTTCTCAATATTAAATTACTGTCTCAGGAGCACCATCAACAAATTTGCATCCTCGAACTCTTCTTCAACCCTTCTGGCAAAATCAGAAACCATTCTGCACATTCAACCTGGACTGCTGAACACTGTTGATGGAAATCCCAAGACTATACAGACTGGAGAACTGCAAAGCCATAGTAACCAAATTTAGATGGACCCTCATCTCAGAAATTATTTTATTAATCCTTTATAAGCTACTCCGTCCTTGATGATTCCAATTCTTAACCACTTTTCTAATTAAGTCTGTTCCTGCCACTCTCAGCAGATGACTCAATTTCATAATTGAGAAAATTAAGACATGAAATCTATCACATTTGGAGCACATAAACTTTCCTATATCCACCCTGACCTCCAATCTCAATAGCCATCCTTTCATTCAAGATCAGTCTCTATTCTGATTTATCCTCTTGATCCCATACCTCTGGGACATTAGTTCCCTCTCCTTACCAACCTCCTTCTCCTTCACCCCTGCCCCAATTTCCTTTGGGGCATTATCCAGCTCTTACGTATGTCTTTAAACTTTCTCCTTTCTTTCAGTCTGTTATCATGTTCCATTCTTTCCTAACCTTAAAAACTAATTTCTTGATCCTGAAACCACCTTTAATACAGTCTTATATGTCCTTTCTCTACACAAACTCTAAAAAATAGCTTATATCCATTATTCTCTACTTTTTCCACTTCCTCTATCTCCTGGATTCCTACTATTTCATTCAAATGGTTCCTGCCAATGCAGCTAGGAATGTAAATGTCATCTCTCTGTTACTGGTGTCCACTCCTACATGAAACCATCTCCGTGACACTCCCCTCCTCTGTTTCTCCTTTTTCAGTCTCCATCTTATTCTACCTGCCTTTATTAGCAGCATTTCTCAAGATATCATCCACAGTCTATTTTTCTTTTTCCTCTTTAAGCTCTCATTGTGCCACCTCATCTACACTCAGGGTTTTAACAATTAATAAGCTAATGACTCACAACACCGTATCTCCAGTCCTGACTTCTCACACTCTAAGGTGTTTATATCCAAATAATTACTTGACATTTCCACTTCAATATATCATCAGTATTTCAAAATAAATATAACTAAATGTAAACTCATTGTCATCTCCCCCAGATTTGCTCTTCCTCTTGGTACCAACTCCTAGCCATGCAAGTCAGAAACGTAGTCCTTGATTTCTCCCTCTCCCTCATTTCCCATAGCTAATGAAATAATACTACTGATTTTATGCCTAAATGTTTAAAATCTAACTTCCTCTCCATTCCTATAGTACTGCTCATGGCCTCATGGACTCAAGTGGATTATTATACTGGCCTCCTGAGGGGTCCCCTTGCATAACACACATCTTGCCTGTTATCCTCCCTAGGAATCCTTCAACGACCAGACCATAACCACCCTCACCTTCTTCAATTTGAATTTACAGGGATGACCTAAATGCTACGATGGATCCATACACATCTCTATCCCAGGACCTATCACACCAATTGAAATAATCTGCTTAAGTATTTCTCTACCTTGAAGGAAAGAGCTGGATCTTATTTATCTTTATATCCCCAGCATATATCTCAGGGCCAGGCAAAAACTTTCTGTTCTTTTGTACCATCTGAATTTCCTCCCACATGAAGGCATTGCCAGTTACAAAAATTTACTAAATTATTAAAAAGGAAACAAATCATTTCTCGAACTAAAATGGTTTCTCAGTTTCTATAGCCCATGCCCAGTACTTCTTCCCTGGCTTTCCTTAGCATCATTCATGATCAGTCCTTGGATTACTTCTCGTCTCTCCATAATATTTCATCCTTTTCTTATAACTTGAACTAGGCTGATTACTCATAAATCAGTATCTCCTGTTCTGTCCTTTAAACTGGACACCAATTCTAAGTTTTCAACTGTTTATTGGGAATTTCTATTCAGATATCCCATTATCACTTTATATTTAATATGTTCACGCCAAACTTACAACCTTCCCATTCCAACTAGCTCTGTGATTCTATTTTCTTGCCGTTTTGAACTCTTCGGACAAAGTAGTAAAATTACTACTATTATTATTGCAAATAGAAAAGTGAGTTTCATGAAACAACTTTTTGAAAGGCAGACAAGGTCTGTGGTCAAAACGGTTTCTCCCAGAGAAAGCTAATACAATAAACCTGTTTCCAACAGAATTAGTCAGTGTTAATCCAGCTTTCCTGAGGAACTTTAAGAAAATGTACGATATATAGAATTTCCCCCTGATTTTCTTTGCCACTGCTTTACTATCGTGGAAGAAGTTTAGTTAGCATTCGATCAGTTCCACCGGGTAAAATAAAAGGGAGAGGCACTAGTAACAAATATGCCACTAACTCCGGGGTTAGTCATTCAAATGTTCACACAATCGCTGGGGTTATTCACACAACCAGAGAGGTTCCAGAAAGTTTAGGGATGCTAACGGAGCTCCGTCAGTTACCAGCCATATTATCCCCTCTGGACGTGTTTCCTTATCTGCAGTGTGAAAGCGAGCTCTAGCTTGCACAGCCGTTGTGACGATTCCAGATACTTCACATGAAACATCTGGCTCCTAATTATTACAATCATTATCCTCCCCGAATCAACCATTTTAACATATAGGAAGAAGTGGAAAGTTGCTAAGTCCCTTCCGCTCTGACCAACAGACAGAAATCTATTATTACTTCGAGTAAAATCCCTCAGCCCACAGTGAACTTTATCTTTGAGGCTCTCGAATCGTTCCCTCTGGTCTCGCCTTGGCAGGTCTCCACAAGGGACTGTTTGAGGTCTCTCCTCACGCTCTGCCGGACTATAAATGGAACTTCCTTGGCGGAGGAGAACACCTAAGAGCTGAATTTATTTTGTTTGAAGCGCATCAGCATCTCCAAGGCTAAAATAATCGGCAAGGGAGGCAAAGAGGGACCGGGATTTCTCACCTCCGCCAGCGCTGAGGGCGCGGAAGGAGGGAGGTCGCTCCCCGGAGGGGCGCGGAAAGAGCGAAGTCGCACGACTCAAGGGCACTCGCACTTCTTTCCGAGCCCTCCACCACCGCGTAGCCCTCTAGTCGGGCCCGCGAACCCGTTAGCTCACCCGAGACGCCCCGCTCACCTGCGCGCAGCTTTCCTGGGCCCTCAAGGCCTAACCCCTAGTGGCCGCTTGCCTTCGCGTCTCCCGGCAACGGGGGCTGGTCGCGGTGAGGCCCCCTCCTCCTGATTGGCCAATCCTCGGCCTTCGCTCAGTGAAGCGAGAGTGAAATGCTCTCGCGAGGTTTGAGGACTAACTTCTGTTACCTCGATACCTCTGGAAGACAGGGAAAACGGCGAGTTGGCTAGGGAAGAATATTTTATTTAAAAACTTGGTTTTCTTTGTAATCAGAGTAACCTCTCTTGATTGTGTGCATGACCTGAACTCACTCCAGCGAGTTTTATCATATCGCTGTGTAACATCATTTGTACTACATCAGACTTTTTAATAAGAATTATTTGAAGTTATTCCGTGGTAGGCAGCATTCATTGTACAGTCTTTTTGTTTCTCATAAGTAGTAGTTTCCTTCCTGTTAGAAGGAAGGAATACAACATAGACGATACAGCATTAAGTATTGACGCGATTCTGGTACCATGTTTCATTTCATTGAAAGTTTTATACCTTTAGGCTTCCTTTCAGAGTTACTTTGTGAGGGCTGAATTAAAAGCAAAGTTGTTTTAAAATAATGTTTTTTAAACGTGTTTTTTTAAAAAATAAGAATTACGTCGTCTCAAATCCTATTTCTCTAATAAAAGTAACTTGCAGTTTGTTTTTTTTCCAGTCTTCCTATAGACAGCTTAAATATGATGGGAGTTCAAAAAAAAATGTGATGGGATCTCTAAACATACATACATATTGGACTTTTAACATTTTCACATTATTCCCATCTTGAATACTTTTTTTTTTTTTTTTTTTTTGCGGTACGCGGGCCTCTCGCTGTTGTGGCCTCTCCCGTTGCAGAGCGCAGGCTCCGGACGCGCAGGCTCAGCGGCCATGGCTCACGGGCCCAGCCGCTCCGCGGCATGTGGGATCTTCCCGGACCGGGGCACGAACCCGTGTCCCCTGCATCGGCAGGCAGACTGTCAACCACTGCGCCACCAGGGAAGCCCTTGTATACATTTTTTATGCCCAGATTTATTCTCTTGTATACCTGCCTTCAAGTGGGTTAAAACCAGTGCAATACAAAATGAAATAATGTCATGTGATTGAGTTCTCTAAGTTTGTAAAACATTTTCATGTAATTATTCCATTTGAGACCAACATATTTGTAATGGTCATTTGTTATACTTATGGTCGTTGCAGTGAAGGGTGGTAGAATTTGCCATCCCAAAACATGCCACTTTGGTATTATAAGGATTATTTGGAGGGGAAGGCAATTGAAAAGCAGGTACAGGAAAAGTTCTCTACTATTCTGCTATTTGCTTAAAAGCAGAATATAAATTTTCAAAAGTGCCCCTCCTTGCTTCTTAACCAGGAAGGACAAAAGTTAATCATTGGAGACAACTTTAGACCTTTACCATCCTGGAGACTGCACCAGAAGAATCTACATAAAAACTTTACTAATTAGCCTTTAACTACTGCTAGTTTCCCATATAGTCGGCTTCCCATAATTTGCTGCCTCTAAAGATTTAAAAGTTATTTTCTTTTATCGCTTGTGTAAAAACTTATTGTTCCTTTGTTAAGATGCCATATAAGCCCAAGCTCTCGTCACCTCTTTGAGTTATTCATCTCTGAATTTCTCCCTTGTATATATGACATACACGTTAAAACACCTGTTTTTCTCTTGTTACTGTCTTTTGCTACAGAGCCCCAGCAGAAAACTTTTCTGCTAGAAGAGTAGAAAGAAAAAAAGGTATTTCCTCTCCTACAACCTCTAGCTGTCCAACTATTCCGTATGTTGTCTCACAAAGAAGCTACTGACATTTCTCCCTTAGTGTTTTCAGACGTTAAGGACCCAGCATTTGCCATTTGTATAGAGATGTGACAGTTTGAGAGAAAATTTTAAATCTTTAACACGTAAAATAAAACATTTTTTTAAACATCTTTATTGGGGTATAATTGCTTTACAATGGTGTGTTAGTTTCTGCTTTATAACAAAGTGAATCACTTATACATATACATATGTTCCCATATGTCTTCCCTCTTGCGTCTCCCTCCCTCCCACTCTCCCTATCCCACCCCTCCAGGCTGTCACAAAGCACCAAGCTAATATCCCTGTGCCTTGCGGCTGCTTCCCACTAGCTATCTACCTTACTACGTTTGTTAGTGTGTATATGTCCATGACTCTCTCTCGCCCTGTCAAAGCTCACCCTTCCCCCTCCCCATATCCTCAAGTCCGTTCTCCAGTAGGTCTGCGTCTTTATTCCTGTCTTACCCCTAGGTTCTTCATGACATTTTTTCCCCCTTAAATTCCATATATATGTGTTAGCATACGGTATTTGTCTTTTTCTTTCTGACTTACTTCACTCTGTATGACAGACTCTAGGTCTATCCACCTCATTACAAATAGCTCAATTTCATTTCTTTTTAAGGCTGAGTAATATTCCATTGTATATATGTGCCACATCTTCTTTATCCATTCATCCCGTAAAATAAAACATTTTTAAAGTACCAAAAACCCGGCTTAGTATTCACAGAATTCAAGGAAAGTGACTTGTTTCCAACTTGACCCCAAGCTCTCTCGTTTTAATTTAAAAAAGTTTAGATTAAAAAAAAAAAATCTCGGGTAACTACTCAGAGAAGGTTTGAGGAAATCGGCGGCGTAAACCTGCCCGCAACTCTACACGCGACGCAAACTTACTCAGCCACAAAACGGCCCTCAGCACAGCGGACTAAGATTTAAAATATCCGGATTGGCGCGCCTACGACTCACGCCCCGCTGGCGCGTGACATTGTGGGATTTGTAGTCCGGCCCACATCCGGCATCACAATAAAAAGCTCAGCCGGGGCTCGGTGAGGACGCGGGCTCGGGAAAGTCCGGGATTCGGGCGCCCACTCCGAGGGGCCGGACGGTGGTATCTCTTTCTCCGCTGGCGGTCCAGCGCGCATGAGGGAATCGAGCCTCAGTTCCTCAACGGCCTCAGCAGTCGGGACGCACACACTCTGCGTCATGGCGGGCTAAGGCCGATGATGAATTCCGGTGTGCATGTCAGGGTTGCTGTGTCACTCGGCTCGCTGGGCGCGCCCCTTCCCGGCCGCCCTTCCGCACCGGCCTTCGGGCTCTTCCGGTCCCGACGCCTCTCACCTTCAAGGCCCTCTCCCGCTGCACGCCCGGCTTCCCACACGGACTGATCTTGCGCGGTGCCCGGGCACCGGGCGCCGGACCTCCTAGGGCCATGGCGAGTGGCGCCGCCAGGTACCGGCTGAGCTGCTCGCTCCCGGGCCACGAGTTGGACGTGCGGGGCCTGGTATGCTGCCTCTATCCACCGGGGGCTTTTGTGTCCGTGTCCCGAGACCGCACCACCCGCCTCTGGGTCCCAGACAGGTGAGCGCTGCGAGTCCCGTTGTTACCCGGCTGTGCTGCAAGCTTCCTTCTCTGGGAAGAGAGTGACCCTTCCCTGCCCTATCCTGCCCTCTTCCTCTTTTCCCGGCCTTTCCGACGGTCCACGCTCCCTCCCAGTTCTTAGAGCACTGGCAGTCTTGGCACGCAGTGTAAGAAACTAGTGAGGTTTACGTGGAAAGAGCACCGGGTTGGGGGAACAGAGACCTACTTTCTTGTCCTAACTTGACCACTAAACGACTGAGTGACCTTGGACGAACTTCTTATTTTTTGTGGCTTCAGTTTGTGGACGATGATTTCCTGTGTTTCTTTTCGATTTGAAAAACTTTTGACGCCAGGTGCACCCTCCTTAATGAGGCCGTGTGAAAGCATCTGGCATGTGTAATTTAAGGAAGTCCACTTCTTCCCCTGGAATTTGTTCTGTAGTCTTCCCTCAAATTGGAGAATTAAGGTTCTCAAAAATTGCATTGCAAAAAGTTGTCTTGGCCCCTCTCCACGTTGTCCAACTCAGACTTTCTTAGTCTGGGGTATGTGATGGACTTGGGCGGAGGGGATGAAACCCCTCAAATGTGTTCTGGATGTGGCGGAGTGTGTTTTCTTGATGTGGCGGAGTGTGTTTTCTTGGGGAGAGAAAGCCCATTGCCTTCAAAAGATTTTCAGAGAGATTAATCAAAAAAATATTAGGAAACAGAAGGTTAAGCTCCAGTCCAAATCAAGTTCAAGGGTTTAGCCCTGATTTAGTTGTTGTAACAGGAAATTTAAGGCCTGGAAGACAGATTTCAGTTCAGATAGGGAAAAATTGAGGTAAGTTACTTCAGGTAGTAACTCTCCCATCAGAGGTTTCACTCATTGAAACCATACGTTTTCCTCCATAAATTCAGATGACAACTGTTTATTGAATGGCTCCTATTTGTTTGTGATCCGGAAGAAGAAGAAAAGGACAGACAAGTTTCCTGTGTTTATAGATCCTGCCTACAGTCTGGGAGGGAAGATGGATGAAAAAACAACCAAGTAAATAATTACGCATTGGCATGTGTACTATGAAGAAAACAAATATAGATATAACATACAGAATTGAGTAGAGGGTGATGTTAAAGAAAGAAGCCTCTCTGAGGAAGGTGTTTTTGGTATTTGGTTTTTTTTTCTTAAATGATACTGAGTTTGAGCTGGTCTAGGGAGTGAGGAACCAGAAGAGTTGAATTGAAAGAGCACTGTAGACCGTAGGAGGAGCAAACACAGTGGCCCTGGATTGAGAAGGAGGAAATTCCCAGTGTGCAGGAGGGAATGAACTGTGAGGTGAGGGCAGGTCTTAGAGGCTGGCGGGAGCCAGATCATGCCCTGGGAAGAGGGCTGAGGAAAGAAGTTAGTGGGTGGAAGCCTTCAGAGTTTCAGGCAGAGGACAACATTATTTGATTTACCTGTGGAGAAGTTTCTGCTAGCTTCAGGTGGAGAATGAGTCGCAAAGGGATAAATGTGGAAGGAGACCTGTTTAGAGGCTTTTGCAGTAGTGCAGCCAAAATACGACAGACTAAACTAGGGATATTGTAGAGGAAACTCCTATATTGAATTAGATAAGGTCTTCTCTAATGCTTAAGATTCTGTGATATTCCAAACCACTTGGTAACATTGATACATAACTTCTGTGTATTTGAGTACAAATTACTGATTAAGCTTGTACATTTAAAATTTTGTTCAGTAGAAGC